CAAACATTGGGGGAGTCCAGAAATGTATCTTATTGATTCCACAAATGGCAAAAGGATAACATTAGGCAGTCTTGTGTTATCCTTCTGCCATTTGTGGAATCAATAAAAATACATTCCTGGACTCCCAAACATTTGTTTGGAATTCCCTCAGACTCGACTACACATACTAGATACAGATGATAGATAAATCATGATCCCCTTTTCAGACCCCAATCAGAGCAAACCTGCAGATACTAAGCATTACATAGCCACCCGCCCCCTGTTATGATCTGTGATTACAGCGTATGGTAGAGGGAGGTCTTCCTGCATTTACTGCTTTTGCAGCTCTCTTCATTTGGTCTCTTGACTTCTTAGAGCCAAAAAGAAAGTTGATACTGGAAGACATCCCTCAGTTAGGCACTGTAATCAGATATCTGACAGGAAGTAAATAGCTATAAAAGACACAGCAGCTATCACTGATTGTGAGTCTTGCTCTGATAGATGTCTGAATGGGTCACCACCAGCCCTACATATATTATGCCTATTAACATGGGGAGAAAATGCTCCCCTTCCCACCAGCCCTGTCCTCCCAAGGTCATCACTTCATAACAGGAAGTGCCTAAACAAGGACTTTTACAGCTACATAAAAGGTGATGTAGTTAGGAGGAGGGGGGCAGGAGGAGCTGGCCTACAAAAAAAGTAATTAGCACTTCCAGAATTGGAGAGGGCAATGATATGCATTATTTTCTGTTTTAATAAGTTTTTGAGTTTTTAATACAGTACATAGGCTGGACTATTTGGGTTCCAAAGGTACGATAAGTAAACATTATCTGATATTTCAATGAATTATTAGGAACCAGTCATATAAGCATTGGTGATAGGTATACTAAGAATATGATGTGTTTTCAATGTAACAACAAAAGATGATGAAATCAAACTATTTGGTTGTATAACATCATCAGAAATAAACTTTTTTTTAAAGAGCTTATGTGAACCGTTGCAGGTAAAAGAAAAGAAAGATAACAACAAAAAAACAAGTATTTTAACTGCTTACTTGCAGTGTTTTTTTCTTTCCACAAATTACTTTTTCTTTAATTGCAAAGAACTTTAGAAAATTTGACTACTCCAGGAAGAGTCAATTCCCCTACACAGCCCCCTCTTTGCACATCATTGCCCTCTCCAATTCTGGAAGTGCTAATTATTTTTTTTGTGGGCCAGCTCCTCCTGCCCCCCTCCCCCTAACTACATTACCTTTTATGTAGCTGTCTGGGGAGGAGCAAAGGAGAATATTATATCTGAGTCATTTACTTGAGTGACAGCTCTGAGTGTTGGTGGGGCTGCTAAAATCAAATCCAAGATGACAGTACCCAGCAGCAGTCTCAGGACTTTTACACTTGGGAAGCTGTTACACGTTAAGGGCTAGTTGACACCAGCCCCAGTGCGTTCCGACTCGTTTCGGTAGCGGAAAGCACTGGATCGCATCCCGGCTGGCTCACTTTTTTGGGGGGCGGGAGGGGGAGTGGCGGTGTATTGAAGTCAATGGCACCACAGCCACGCCCTCCGGCCGCAGTGCGATCGCCCGCACCAGAACGTGTGGCACATCAATGCCTGCATTTCAGTACGGTGCGGTCAGAAAAAATGCTGCATGCACTATTTTTTCTGACCAGACCGGAATGCAGGCATTGAGGGAACCATTGCAGGCCGGAGGGCTTAACCGCCACGCCCCCCTCCCGCCCTAAAACAAAGTGAGCCGGCCGGGATGTGATCCAGTGCCTTTCGGCACTGAATCAAGCTGGAACGCACTGGGGCTGGTGTGAACTGGCCCTAATACCATGCATAAAATAGAGTTAATGCATACAAAATCTGATAGGAAGGTTTTGTTAAAAAACCTGACCTTCCAATGTGGTCTTTTTAAACTGATAGGTTATAACAGTAGGGGGTGGGGGAGAAAACCCATACAGAAGCTGGAAAGTGGAAGGAGAAAACAAAGAGGAGAAAAAAAATCACCTCGGCCCAATACAGCTCACATTGCTCCACAGTACACCTAACCCCAATACACCTTCCCCCCAAACCCTAGTACACCTCACCCTGCACCCTAGTAGACCTTAAATTGCTCCACAGTACACCTTACCCTAATACACCTTCCCCCCACACCTCAGTACACCTCACCCTGCACCCCAGTAAACCTCACATTCCTCCACAGTACACGTTACCCCAATACATCTTCCCCCTACACCCCAGTACACCTCACCCTGCACCCCAGGACACATTACATTGCTCCACAGTAGACCTTACCCTATACACCTTCCCACCACACCCCAGTACACCTCACCCTGCACTGCAGTACACCTTACATTGCTCCACAGTACACCTTACTCCAATAAACCTTCTCCCCACACTCTAGTATACCTTACATTTCTCCAGAGTACACCTTACTGCAATATTCCTTCCCTATACATACCAGTACACCTCACCATGGACCCCAGTACACCTCACATTGCTCCACAGTACACCTTACCCCAATACACCTTCCCCCCACACCCCAGTGCACCTCACCTTGCACTCCTGTACACCCTGCATTGCTCCACAGTACACCTTACCCCAATAAACCTTCCCCCCACACTCCAGTACACCTCACTCTGCACCCCAGTATGCCTTACATTGCTCCACAGTACACCTTACCCCAATACACCTTCCCCCTACACCCCAGTACACCTCACACAGCACCCTAGTGCACCTCACTCACCGCACTTATATAAGAGCATAGGATAAAGCTGACTTTTTAGGTACCCAAATTAGACTTTTTTTATATTCTAAAACTAACTCCACACTATAAGCCTATACTGTGATTAATACCAATTCTTATTTTCAAGACTGCCTGCAAAGTTCCTGGTCCATTGGATGCAATATAAATCATAATATATGTCATATTTATCCAGTAACCACAATATCACCGGTCCATGTTTCTATTTGACCATGAAGGGAAATTCCTGGATGATGACTTTCACATAGATTGCACAATCTTGTGCCTGTATTGATCAACAGCCAATGGCAACACAGTGGACCTTGAGACTGTGTACCATGTGTTCCCCTCCACCACGCCTAAGGTTTTGCTACAGATGTAGGCAGCATGGATGTTGGCTGTTAGGCAATATAGGCACAAGATTGTACAATCTATATGAAAGTCATTGTCCAGGAATGCTGGAAGTGCACGTACGTTCAGAAGTCTACAAGACTTCAGGTGGACCCCTAAAAAAACAGGGCCATTTTATTCTGCAAGCTTTGATATTTCCTGGCAGTGTCCAAGTCAGGACTCTTCTCTCCTACATCTTTGTATTGACCAGTGAGTAATGGGCACATAGGAAGGTGGGGGCAGGCTACCCTTTGACCCTACCAGGAGGTGATTAAACAGGAAGAATGGTTTCTTTGTGTATTTTTGGGAGCGCTACTGTCACTTTAATAGCCATTCTTTGTGTTCTGTTTATGAAGAGCACAGAGTTTGTGATACAGAACAGGCCAATGTTACACTGACAACAGCACAGTTATCTGCAGGGCTGAATAGTCAGTTCAGTCCTGCACAGTGCAGAAGATGACCCCAGCTGGCCCACCGGCACAGCCCCAAGCTTGGTGCCCCTGCCTTGTCCTAGCTCTGAGCTTTTGGATTTTTACTTTTTCTCAGCCCTGGAAGCCCCATGCCAATAACTACTTGCCAAGAAGTAATTTTCCACCCAGAGAGGTTGTGTATACCAACTGGTATCACCAGTTACCCAATTCCTGTGAATGATGACTGCATCAATTTTTGTGGGATCTGACAACATAAAAAGCCAAGTCAGAGAATTTATTTTGAGTCATTTGTGGAACGTTACAACTAAGTGATTTGGAACCTGTTATGTGGCCATGTAGAATGTATATGGCAGAGTAAAGTGGGATACTCCATTCGTCAAAAGATTTATCCGACCGGCACAGTGTAACAGCAGATCTGTCTGTAATTCCATGTTCAAAGGGATCTTCTTCCAAAAAGTGCTGTATGTCAGTACACATCTGAAATTGCCCTAATGCAGTATTCTTCCTGTATGCTAGTTGCACAATAATCACATTATACAGTATAGGATAAGTGAAACAATGCTGTCAGCCTTATTAGCTGTCTGTTTTTTTTAATATCATTTTATATGTTTCAGGTAAGAGAAAGTGTTATCTTTCCTGGCAAAGTTAACTGAACTATACCCTCCTTTCCTTTACAGTCAAGGAAGGTGCCATCTTAGCTTCTATTTGGAGTGCAGTTATCATGTTGCTGTATATGTGATCAGCTATGACACCAGCCTTTTGAGGGCTTGAAAGTGATGGAGAGCTGAAATAAGCACACTGGCATCATTGACAGTAGGCATGCCTTAAAAGTAACGTTTTTCCGAGACAGTTAAATTGCTGGGTTTTGTTCCACTTTAATACAGTATATGCCAAATAACGGATCCCATCCTGACCATTTTTTAAATAATAGGTAAAAACATGCAACTGTTACCTGCCCTGTAGAAAACCACTAATTCCATATCACATGGTTGTTAAATGAATTGTCAACTTGGCTAATTCCCTTCAGCTGAGATCACATGATTATCCCTGCAGGTTACATTTTGGGAGTAATTAACTATTTTAGAGGACAGATTGATAAGATTGTTGGGAGATAAGTAATGTTAAATTAGGTACAGTCAGCTGTAACCACAGATTAAATCCAATCAGGTGCATCATGAAAAAATAAATGTTGAGTGTGCTGCGAGCGTTTAAAATATGAAAACTGATCTACTGTACTTCCAGTCAAACAGAGCTTTGGAGGTATATTAGCAATAGTTCAGAATTTAATAATTGTGCTCCGGCCACAGCTTGATTTCTGCTAAACAATAAGCCACAAGCCTGCCCACATCACATGCTTCTTGGAAATTTTCACACGTAGGCCGTCAACCTTTTCATAGGTAGTATATATAGATACAACATACACTTGTTTCAGTTGTCTTTTTGCTGCAATGGGTTCAATCATTTTCTTTATTGTGGCTTCTTTTATCCTCAGTATCTCAGCAGGTAAGCAACCTCATTTCTTCCTTATGAGACAAAACATAGACATATTCCCTTTTGTAGTGTAGAGGAAATCTTTTCAAGAAATGAAATAGTATTTTATTGCATCTAATTACTTTTTTTTTGTATCGCCGAGATTTTTTCCTTTTATCTATAACATTTGCATACCATTTGGTAATGAAGTAAAAGATCCATACCCTATTAATGCAATGTATGAATAGATGTCTGAAGTTTCCTAAGCCATTCTTTGTGCATCACACAAACTAGCAATATGCGTACTGTACAGTGTGGGGTTGCCATTGATGCATGTATCTAATTCCAAATTATTTAATGAATTATAAAACACCAGATGAGTTTTTCGCATTTTTAATGAACTGCAAACTGCATGGTGTCTTAAAAATCCATTTATATCAGCACTCTCTATTTTAACCAAAAAGATGCGCTGCAATGTGCTTTGAGAATATCCTGCATTAAACTGCAGCTTCCCAATTCAAGTCAAAACCCATTGGGACACAGCATAATTTTACCTAACCATATCATGACAACGAATGGCAGGAAAAAGGATCTCAAGCACAATTAAACAGGTTGCACAAATTCTTCCCATGTCCAGATGTTGGAGACTGATTTTTTTGTGTTGCTGCTTTAAAAAGGGAAACATGTTTAGAATTGAGGAATGATGCACAATAGTTCAATAAAATGCATTTGAGAAATGCTGAATATTTGATTTACTTCAGCAGAATCTGCAAATGTGCATAACTCCCTTGGCCCTTTTTCCCAAAGCAGTGCACTTAGAAAATCTCAGTACTCAGTTTATAAAGCATACATTGCCTTAAAACTACAATAGTTTGAATTCTGTTTATATATTGATGTATTGGTTTTTCCAAACATTACTCCAGATTTATCACATTTTACACAACTAACAAACATACAACAATAAAACAGAACACAACATTACATTAATCCCATCTAACCTCTATATTGTACCTGATATCCAAAGAGCAATTTATATATACACAGGGCTGATCTCTCCAATTACACCCCTTAATAGTGAATTACTAATAATGATTGTAATGTACCTTAATATAGTTTTAATTCTGTTTTATTTTGATTTTATGCATTAAAGTGACATTAAACTCAGGAGATAAACCTTAAAAATGCATTCAAGTACCTTAACTATTAACAACAATTGTAGCTTATTTTTATATCACTCGGCTGTAGATCCTCAAATCATCTCTGTCATCTCGCTCTTGTGATGGACTACAATCTCATGTTAAGTTTACTAATTTGTATTGAGATTGTAGTCCACTGGAGCAAGCTTGGAGCAATGGCTACTTTATAACACATACAGGGAACATGGGGAACAGAAGTAGCCCCCCTCCAGAAGGAAGGACAGTGTTGGCACCAATTCAGAGATGATTTGAGGGTCTACAGCCGAGTGATACACAAATAAGATACATTTTTGTTAATAGTTCGGGTACTTGATTGCATTTTTATGATTTAGTTCCTGAGCTTAGTGTCACTTTAACTAATGCTTTGTGCTTTATTATAGATATATATTGCTTTTGTATACAAATTAACAGTTAATGCAGGGTGTACACATGACACAGGATTCTCTGGAATACAGTGACATAGGATTACTTAAAGTAATCTATAAACTGTATACAAAATAACTAACAGTTCCTTTAAAAATAAATATAAACCAATCTTAGGCTCCATTCACATATAGCGTTTGCGTTTCCAGCGAACGCATGGAATCCGCTGTATTATCGCACTTGCACTATTTTACGGTTTCGTGCTGCGCGGTCCCTGCAATGGTCTGAACGCTGCACATTGAAGTGCATTGTATTTTGTGTTAAAAGCGGCTCCACGCATATCCATACAGCCGAATACGCGAGAACAGCCGCTCAGGTGTGAATGGAGCCTTAGATTTTTGTTTATGAATACAGAACAGTACAGAAAAATACTTGTTGATCCTGCCAGAAATCTTCTGTCCTTGAAACTTCATATGCACTGAACTAAAATATCAAAATTATCTTAACAGCTTTCTCAGTTATCTTTTGTGAACTACAAATCAACACCCCTCTATGTAATAAAGATAAGGCGAGGGGATGTGTTTTATGAGTGAGCATTATTACTCTACAACAAGTGTGTTACTGGCAGGATTGCCAAGTGAAAATAAAGAAAATAAAGTTAAAAAAAAAAACCCATAGTTCTCCTTAGGGTAGCGGGAGGACACAAACCAGCGTCCTCCCGTCACCCTAGGCTCAGTATACCGCGAGGTGTAGCTCGCGGTATACTGAGACCTTGCAGTATACCGCGAGCTGCTGCTCGCGGTATACTGAGACGCCGCAGCTGAAGCGGATCCCGACAATTATGCCGGGATCCGCCCAGCTGCGTGACTGACAGCTGGCTCTGCCTATCTAGAGGCAGAGCCAGCTGTAACCGCCCCCTCCCCCGTCCGTTCCGCCAATCAGCGCTGGCAGATCGGAGCGGGGAGGGGGGAATCCCGCCCCTCCCCCTGTCACGGCAGAGAGCTGTGACAGGATCGAGAGGTGAGCAAACGCCGGTATGTGTACGCTCACCTCCCGATCTAGTGATCACCTCACCTCCCGAGTGAAAAGCACTCACCTCATAGTTCTCCTTTAAATGCATGCCCTTTAACATTGCATTCATGTGCATCTATCAGTTTGTGTGCAGTTACATTTCAAGTCTGGAGTCTTTGCTCTAAACACTTTTGGGCTTATTTACTAAAGGAGTTGAGAATCTTTCAACAATAAATTGTGTGACCATTCACGTCAGTTATCCAGTCATGTGCAGATGAATAAAGTAAACAGCATTTTACTTTCGGCCTACAAGATATATGGAGAAACCTTTGTGTGTATGTCATTTCCTCACATAATTATTACAATGAATGCACCTGAAACACTATTTCAAACGTCTTTTTTTTGTGCGCGTGTGAATAAAACCTTTATTTCACCCATAAGCGTGAATTTGGTAGGTTAATTGCTCCTGTCTAAATCGGCCCTGTATCTGTGCATGTGAGATACAGACCGTAGATTGTAAGCTCCTTGAGGGCAGGGGCTGATGTGAATGTGCACTATGTTAGGGTCTGCATACATTTTTGTTGCTATATAAACAGGGCAGCCATCAGAAATTTTGGGGTGTCCACAGAAGACGCTTTAAAAGCCCCCACAGGTCATCAATTTAGAGATACCCCAAAATACTGGCCCTAGAATTATTGCTCTTGCTCCGGCGTGCGCGGTGATACCCAACATGTGTAGCGCGTTCGTTGTTTTTATACGTAGGCGCACGTGACGCGTGTTTACGTGGTGACGCGCGTGCTCGCGGGGGCGAGGGACTTTTAAAAATGTTTTATTATTATTATTATTACATTTATTTTATTT